GTACTTAACATATCATTTTAGTAATTTAAATAAGTAAAGATATAATGGGCTACGATGTCACTACTATACAGTACCTGCCTACTACCAAACTGCAATCCATATAACTCCAGTTGGTGTACAAACTACAACTTGAGAATCACTAATATTACTGTAAGATATGTAAGAATAAGTATGTAATACAATAATAAAGATGGAGAGGCAAGGTGTCATGTGCAAGCTTAACTTTCTCAATTCCTTACTTGAGTGCTTATGCATGCAGTAACATAAGGGAGTTTTAAAACAATGGATGCCTGCACAATATAGAAGACATTCTCTTGCAAGAAAAATATTCCATACAGAACCCCCTATTCCATATACCTTGCAAAGTCCACCAGGGGAACCTTAGAAGTTGGGCAGTTTTTAATCTTACAAGATGAGCAATGAAAGAACAAAGATCTCTCTAGAGATCTAGCACAATTAATACTTGCCAACATTATGGTTTTTACAGCACAAGTAATTTAACTATGCACTGGTGTCTTACAGGCCTCCTTGAAGACACGGAAACAAAAAACAGGACTAGCACTTTAAAGATTAACAAGATGGTTTATTAGGTGATGAGCTTTCGTGAGCCAGACCAAGACACTGTGTGATTTTCAAAGACTGAACTCTCAACACAAAACCAATTTTCACTGGGACACTCAAACACACTTCACAATCAAGAGTATTTCCTTGCCTAATTCCAACACTGAACCTCTTAAGATGGTTCAGCAATAATGCAGTTCAAAAAACACTTTTCAGAGATTAAAAAAAAAAGTTGTTGCAAAGTATATTTCTCCTTCCCCTCATACATATGCTCAAAGGCATTAGAACCATTCTGTTACAAAACTTTCTGAATGTTTAATTTTTGGACAAAGACCAGGTCCATAAAATTTCAGCTGAGGTGAAAGTTTCAGAAAGTTACAAACTGAAAATGAGGATGACAACAGCAGCTATTATGCAATTTCAACTTTACTTCCTGCTACTGCTATACAAGGCTTTGTTATCATCCAAGAATTAGTTATAGCTGTCTCCCTGATCAACGAGATTACAGAAAATATTTTAGGGTTACTGACAACATATTAATCCAAATTAGTAAAATCTGTTTCTGATCTTGCTCCCGTTGAAGTACGTTAACTTCAAAAGAAACTCTGTGTGCTGCCAAAGACTTAACAATACATAAACCAGGACTTCGGATTCCCAGTTTTAACCAAAAAGACGGTGTCTAAAGCATCCATGACAACAACAAATTTGTTTAACCCAACACACACTAGAAAAAACACCAGAAATGGTTCCTTGTATTTAAACAGTTGCCTACATGGAGCAGAAATGCATACCACAAAGGTATGATCTGAGGAAGTGGGTCTGGCCCACGAAAGCTCATCATCTAATAAACCATTATGTTAGTCTTTAAAGTGCTACATTGTCCTGCATTTTGCTACCACAAAGGTGTGATTTCTAAAGTGCATTAATGTATTGCATAATAATTGGTTCATGTAGACTATCTGTTTGGGCGTACTAGAGATTCCCAAATCCATTTTAAAGTAGTATTCTATTAAAGAGCGGTACAGGTCATCATAAATTACTCATTCCAGCAAAGAGGAACACCTCCCCCCCCGCTCTCCAAAATCTAAATTTTGGACATTATATATTATATAAAGCTCAAAAATTGCTAAAAATAAGCCTCTCCCCCTCCAAAATTATATCACTAGATTCCAAAAAGCAAAGCCCCTACAGATTAAGGCAACCAAAGTGACCCTGATGCACTTCATTTTAAAACTAAAAATCAGTTAATACTCTGTGTACACTTCTTGTCACCTAAAAAAACTGCTTGTGGTTTTCACATAATATTGTAATTGTAGTATTACAAACCCTCATTCATTTTTCAAGACTTAGGCCATCTAGTTACCAATGATTACCATATATTATAAATTGTGCTAAATCATCCTCAGGATAGTGATCCAATGCTAAAGATTAAATTTTACCTCAACAATATGTACAATTTATCTTTCCATGTAACATTTAAAATTCCCTCAGTAGCAGTTAAAGGCCATAAGTTTCATACCTGCTGTATACTTAGAAATGAAGAGCTTTCAGAACTAGTATCTGAGTTAAAATTATTTGATTGTCTCAAATATTTTATGGAACAAAAATGTGTGTGAACTTAGCATAGTTGCTTGAAAGATACCAGAACTCAATTAAAATCTAATAAAGCTTTTATAAAGAGTAAAAATCAAGCCCCAAGAAAAAACAAAACAAAACAGAAGAACTTATAAAATTATCTTTGACTCTTACAGAAACACCAGAAGCAAGCAAAAATGGGAGTGAAGTAGTCATAGAATAATGCCAATAAAAATATTACTAGAAGTATTTCTATTTTAGCTAACAATTTTCAGGCCAGGTGCTTAGTATGTTTTACAAGTATATGTTCCCCACTTTTAAAGGAGTGGAAACTTCAGGCATAGAAATCTGAAGTAATCCTTTCCAAGGTCCACAGGTCACATCAAACTGAGGAAAGAACCTAAATATCTTAGCATTATATCCTGTACTAGAGTCACTAACTGAGCAGAATTACTTCAGCAAACTAGAAGGTGAACGCTTATCTTGTTGTTTAATAAATTCAGTAAACATATTAGCAAACTGCATTTGGCCTTGTATATTATTTTAGCTTTGTCAGTTTAGCACAGTGTTTGAATACTCTGTTAGCTCACAACACAATTTCCACTTTGGTGAATCTGATGTTGGAAATGAAGCTGGATGTACATTACTAGTAGTAACTCACGCATTATAAAATTCCACTACTTTTTAGAATAATCACTCTTTCCCACTCTAGTTCTGATGGATGCAACGTTCATACCCTTTACAAAATCCTACCTACCTCCCACTGAAAAACTAGATTTTCAGTCTAGGGATGTTAAATATTGGTTAACTGAAGAGTTGATTAACCTCATGAATACTTATCAGTTATTCAACTAGTGAGGTTGGCAGCCAGTGTGCTCCGGCCCCCACTACCGAGGAGCCCCCTGCTACACAGCAGCAGCACAGGGACGTTCATACCCTTTACAAAATCCTACCTACCTCCCACTGAAAAACTAGATTTTCAGTCTAGGGATGTTAAATATTGGTTAACTGAAGAGTTGATTAACCTCATGAATACTTATCAGTTATTCAACTAGTGAGGTTGGCAGCCAGTGTGCTCCGGCCCCCACTACCGAGGAGCCCCCTGCTACACAGCAGCAGCACAGGGTGCCAGATGGGAGCTGGTCCGTGAGGCAAGCCAGTTTAAAAGAAACAGCTTCCCTTGCAGACCATCTGCCTGTTGCCCCATGCTACTGCCCCTGATACAGAGGCAGCAGCAGCCCCAGTCCAGGTGGAGGTCTGAGCTCCTGGACCCAGCATGAAGAACTGAGCCAGGCTACCTGCCCACCTGGGTCCTAATACACTTTAAATGCAGAGCCACAACAGGAGTAGGTCGCAGACCCAGCGCAGGCTGGGACTGCGCCAGGCTGCTGGCCAGCCTGCTAAAAAAATTACTGGTGGAGGGGTCGAGGGGTGGGGAGGAGAGAATGCATGTAGTCTATACCATTAACGTATAAGCTTTTGCTTATCAGTTAATCAACTACACAATTAGATCACTAGTTCAGCCATTTGTCAAAATTGCTACTGCCAGCCATATTTCCGCCCAAGAAATATCAAAGTGATTAGAATGTATCTTATTCCATAGGCAAACTCAATGCGAATCCTTGTTGAAATCCTCTTTTTTGAAACTGTTATTAGTTTTGTATTATCAGAAGCCTTCACTGGCCCAGAATCAGCAATGCACAACAGGAGAGAAACAGGTTCTTAAAAATCATCTCAGTTTAAGGCTGATCATTTGCCTCAGTCTATCTTCATAGTCACTGTCGGCAGACAGGATACTGGGCTAGCCTTTGGTCTGACCCAGTATGGCCGTTTTTGTTTATAATTTGTTGAACTTTGGCAGAGGGCTATACTGCTAGAAATCAACACAAATTCCACTTTATTAATTTAGCTAATAAAAGACTAACATCTATTTTTCTGATCACAGTTAAGCTACAATTCCTCAGGTGGAAGTCAATGTCTATTTGGCAGATTTAACTAACAATTTCTAGCATTTTGCACATTATTTAAGAAAAACAAACAGAAACCAATCATTCTTTTCTATAACATGTTAAGAACATATGCAGCACCAACACCTTCCTCCAGTATTTAGGTTTCAATTCTTTTCCAGTTCCTTAGCAACCATATATCCCATATACACTGCATAAAGAACCTACTCAAACATATATTTAAAAAAAATAATTTAGTATATTTTGTCCTTTCAATTCTGTATGCAAGATGAGGAGTTTACTTTACAAAAAGACTATCCAAAGGTCAATTACCAAATTTGGTCAACCATGGTGCCATCATTGCTGTCATCATTCTTGTCACTGTCAAAAGCAACAACTGTCACCTTGCTATTATCAGGGAGAGAAGGCAACTGAAATATTCCCGATGCAAATTCTATTTACAGTTTGCACTTTACCCACAAACCTTTCCAGTGGTCATTCATTAAGCCTGATTAGGATCAAATCAAAAGCAAAAACAATGACCAGCCAAACTCATAATCATGGTTGGTTTTAAAAGCCAACAAAAAAAAGGACTGGGAAATTCCATCTCAAGTATGTATAAAAATCTGATTGATTTTTATCTATACATGCTTTTCACAATTCTGGGTCTGGTTTAATTGTATGGAAGAGAATTATATACAACATATATGTAGTGTATACAGAAAATTAATGTCTAAAACATGCAAAAGTTAACCTTAGCAGGATAACCAATTTAAAAACTTGCATGCAATTTATTTTTTTTCCTCATAGTAGAACTTGTGTAAATTAAGGAATAACCCTTTCCTTCAATATTTTATATACACATACAGTATCCTCATTTGTTCAACGTGTGAAAAGTCTGAAAAATATTTTACTTACAAAAGATATACAAGCTGCCAACAGTAAAATTCTAACTAGTAAGTCTTCAAATTGTTCAATCACAAGCTCAAGTAAGGATTTTCCTGCAAAATATAAAAGGCAGACATATTGAATTTTAAATATACACAGAAAGAGGCAAAATTATGGATAAGAAACATCAAAAGATTGTGCAATCTTTCTTACCTTCTTCAGCAGGTAATTCTGCAAGAAGCACAGATTTTCCCAAGGATCATGTCAAAGAGAAAAGGGTGTTAGATAATTATTTAGCTATTATAAAACATAGAATCATAGAATACTAGGACTGGAAGGGACCTCAAGAGGTCAGAGTCCAGTCCCCTGCCCTCATGGCAGGATCCAGTACTGTCTAGATCATCTCTGATAGACATTTATCTAACCTACGCTTAAATATCTGCAGAGATGGAGATTCCACATCCAACATTAAAGATTATTTCTGAGCTAGCTAAAATGCTACAAAACTAAATTCTATCCGATCATATAGATATGAAGTTCATATTTGAAAGCAATGCTAAGTAGTATAATTAAGGTGCCACTTTTCAACAAGAATTGGAATGGGCCTTGCTAATTCTGCCATTTATGCTGAATACATTTTAGCAACGATCTAGTGAAGTAACAATTCAATCAAGTCATCTCTCTTGCCTACTATATTACTTCTGGTGCTGCTGCATGCAAAGAGCCACAGGCTTCAACCGTGCTTTCGACTCCAGCAGAACACTGACTTCCCTTCACATCCACTTTACCAAAAACTAAGACAAGTACTTCACTATCTCATCTTTCTATTTAAGAACTGCCGTCTCCCCATCTGCTATTACCTCTCTCTGTAAATCGGTTCTGCAATGCAACTGGCACAAAAGAAAGCTATAGAAATAAAGCCCCGCTGCATTGTTTTCTGAACATTTTAACACCACCACCAAAGCACCCTTCATTCTGAGTCAAAGAACGACGTTTGGCTGGGAGCGTTGGGAACCGCAAAGAAAATGAAGGTCATTACAGGATAAAAGGAGGCACACACAAAAAAGCGTGTGCTTTATTTAAGGATAGAAGCGGATTTCCCAACAAGGTGAAAGGAAACCGAGGTGGCACCCTCCACGCTGAAGCAACCCGGAGCGCCCAGGGTATAAAAGAAACCCACGAGGTGGAGTTCAAGTCAGCCATCTTCTCTCTCCCTCGCTCCTATTCCGGGTCCTGAGTCAGATGCCGGCATCGCACACACAGGTTAGGCCTTGCAACAGGGCCCTAAGGAGGATGAGAGGGAGAAAGAGGCTCCCACCACGCGGCGGCAGCTTCCCCCCAGCAGCGGCAGGCCGTGGGTCACCTACCGTTGGCGCCCCATCTCTCCTTGAGCTTCTTGACTTGCTCCAGGCTGAGCCCCGTGCTCTCGTTCACGCCGAAATAAGCCAAAACTTCCTCCACCGTCTTGGTGTGAGCGTTCTCCATGGCCGGGCCGGCAAATGGTGTCTCTCCTCCGCTTCCTCCTTCTCAGCAGCAGTAGCCTCCGGCCCTCCCCTTAGTCTGCTCGGTACTTCGCTCTCTTCCCCCAGCAGGTCCCCAACCGCCCCCGGGTGATTATCACCATAGACCTAGACCACGAAATAAGCCAAAACTTCCTCCACCGTCTTGGTGTGAGCGTTCTCCATGGCCGGGCCGGCAAATGGTGTCTCTCCTCCGCTTCCTCCTTCTCAGCAGCAGTAGCCTCCGGCCCTCCCCTTAGTCTGCTCGGTACTTCGCTCTCTTCCCCCAGCAGGTCCCCAACCGCCCCCGGGTGATTATCACCATAGACCTAGACCACAATAGGGATCACGTGAGCGCTCCTCTCCGGCCACGGCACCTGCACCCCCCTTCACTCCGTACCTTGGGGGGGAGGGGGGAACCTCGCTACCACCAAGGGAACACAACCACCCCCCTTCCCCTCAAACGTCACCCCCTTCTCCAGCAGCCGTTTGGCGGCCACAAGGCAAAGTCGCCTCCCTTTCGCTCAGGCCGATACCTGCCCCTCTCTGAGGGGTGCTGATGTAACAATGCCCCCACCGTCACTCGGGGCCGCGTGCGGAGGGAATTTAGCTGCCGCCGCCACCACCCCCCTTCTTCTGACGCGGCGGAATTTCCCCTTTCGCCGCACAGTAGGGTGCGAAGGAATCGTATCGTCCCCACTCCCCTCTGAGGGGTATGAAATACCCTGGCTGTTCTAGGGGACGTAGCTGCCCTGGGGAAGAATGTCCGGTAGGGTGGGATCCGCTGCTGTGCTGTGCTCCGTTCCTGTCGCTAGCACGAGCTGAACCACTGGCAGCTGCTCTAATAGAAGGTATTGGAGGCCACTCTCCGCTTC